TTAATAATTTATGCTAGGTCAATAATTAATGTTAATAGACATGTGCGTAATATTATAAGCAATTAAATCGTATACACATGTTTTATGCGCGCGAAATCGATAAATAATAGAGTCTTAAATAGCAGAATGAAAGTTTCTGAAAAGTCTAAACGGACGAGTGAAAACGTGAAATTTTACATCTCCGTCCCGTAATAGACGAGGTGCCTATATATAAATAGGTATATTATCATATGCGTGTTGTAATACTGTGTATATATATATATAATGCGACGTGCGAACAGGAGTGTTGACAATAACAATAATAATGTTGCGGCGATTCTAAAATTGTATTTAAAATATTTACTGCATCAAACACACACACACACGTTATATCCAAATTAAACGTTAAATACATTTTATTATGTATACACAATATACGCGTGTGTGTTACCGTCGGGAAAAACGGGTCTCGGAGAGTAGTAGGTAATAATATTATAATGTTGTGTTCCATTCCGTCTACTCCCGCGGTCGCGTGTTCTGCGCGGCGGCTACACGCGACGCTCGCGCGACACAAACCGACCGGGCGGCCGACACCGTTGCGGCGCCTCATAACCAGTTTGACGTGGGCACCGACATTATAATATTATTACAATATATGTTTAGTTTTGTATCGTACATTATACAGGTGCGCAGAGGTCGACTTTGTCTTTACGTGTTTTATTTTTATACATCTCTCGGGAAACGAGTTCGACCGCATCGGCGTCGCCGTCGCATAAAATGCATCATCATCTGTGATTATATTATGGCATTATGCACATAATAATATTATTCGTCGTTGTTGTCGTCGTTGTCGTCTCCGTCGGCTCGTAATCGCAATAATAATAATAATAATAATAATAGTAATCTAGGTAAACTCACATGCAAAGTCGGCTGTCGTTATTGTATAATATACTACGTATAATATTTAATATTATAATATATCGCATTCAAATTATAAAAGTTACATTTTTTTTTTTTTTTTAATACGTATTCATCAAAATGAGTAAAATTGCTAACATTTATTGTTGTTTATTAATATTTTTTTTATTTAACGTTGTACATAAAATGTTTTAGTTATAAATTATATTATATTATTAATACGATAATTATTTTTTTCAGAAATCTATATAATGGAAATTTAATTGCCTATACATTCAAACGGTAGACTAGTTATTATCTGTTTTTAATAATGATACGATATTTTTTTTATCAAAAATTTAAAAATAATTTTCATTATAGGCAATGAATAATACACACGGCAAATTGCGCGCAGTGCCCTTTTTAAACTTGTTTTATACGATCAATTTTGTGATCAACTCAATGGAAATAACAGACGATGCAAATTTAAAAAAAATAATTGAATAAAAACCTAATTTGCGTTAAAATTTAAAAAAATAATGTATCTTTGCATTTGTATCTAATATCATATTCTAAAAATAAATTTAAAAAAATATATAAAAATAAGATATATACATTGTATAATTATATATATACAATTAAAAATGTCAAACGATGCGATATAGTTACTAATGTATCTTCAATTTAAGATGTGTATTTTAGATACTGCCCATTAACGTGTGCAGACGAATTTAAAATATTTTAATAACAACATTATACTATGCTCAAATCTTGGGATGGATGCAGACGCTATTCTTATTATTATTATTGTATATACCTATAGTGTTGTTTCAACTTTGTTTTCCTGTGTATTGCGATTTAAAAGGACTGCCAACAAACATTAGGTCATTACACACAGAAACGGGTATAATAATATACTTAGCGGTGGCGTCGAATAAATAAATTTATAATACTTTGTGTGTGTGTGTGTTGCAATGTGTATATATATACATTTACAAGTGACAAATGACATTTTCTCACGCTTCCAATTTTAACCCTTTTTTATATATCATCTACTTACTCTGTAAGCAAATCAATTTTTTTCAACCATATTAAACCACCATTGCTATATACTCGACACGCTCATATTTTTTGCTACGTTCAACAACTACCTATACCTTTATAAGTTTGAAATAGTAATTTTCAAGTTCTGAATAAATGAAAAAAATTTGAATTTTTCATATAGGTTATTATTATATTTTTTAATAAATACTCAATCGGTTAGGGTACTTAATAATACGACTATACAAATAAAGTTATAAATTCCAAAACCACGATTACAAAAAAAAAAAAAAACGAATCGACACAACAGAGTTAACATTTAGGGTTAAGTAAAACCGATAAGTATTTCTTTATCACGTAAATGTACATTGCAAAACATATTTTTAAACACTACGTAGTACTCGAAACGAATCTCAAATAACGCGACAGTTTTGTGTAGTTCTGTAATATCAGATAAGTCTAAAATAGTATTTATTGTTTTAAATCAACTCTTTGAATAGCATTAAGCAAATTTTTTTTTAACGATAATATTATTATAAAAGCTCTGCAGTGTTATATTTTCTTGATACAACGTGATTTTATTGTATACTCATGCTCGTTTTAATAATTATTGTTATTATTATTTTTAAAATGAAAATAAGCTATTAAACAAGCACTCAAAATATTCAAAAAGTTGACCAACTATGCGAAGCGTTGAGGGGAAATCGTCCGTATCATAGGGAAAATTGTAATCCCCCCTGAAAGCCAAACATAAGCAACTGACGTTGTACAAGGTGATAATTCCTTTAAAGTTACATCAAAGTGTATGAATATTTTTGGAAATATTTTTTTATACATAATTTAAGGTCATTGTAAAAAGACATTTTTAATCTTTTATTTTATGAATGACAACATTGACAACATAATATATTAAATACTCTTATGAAAATTATTTTTTTGACACTTTTAATACGAATAAAATGTAGAAAGTAATAAGTATAAATATTATTATAAATGGTCGACTATATATTTTTTTTCTTTATAAATATTTTTTAATAGCCTCAATTTATGAAGAAGAAAAAATTATTTACAAGAACGTAAATACTTTTTAAGCAAATGTTTACTTTTAAAATAATCACCTTATATGTAAATATAGGTGTATTACGTATGTATACTTTAAGTCACTTGAAATAAAACACAATAATATTATTATGATTGTATCAATATACATGAATACGATATGCCATCGATTCCCGTAGGGGTTTGAACCGCAGCCGTCGAGAGACCTGCTGCAGTGAGTCGGTAATTTTCTCACTATCAACACACATAATATAAGAACCTCCTACTTGTAACTTTACTATATGTGTATAATCGACGATGGAAGGTATAATTCCAAAAATTCTATTGGTCTTGACAGCAGCCCACTTTTATTGATGACGGATGGATTTATATGTATATATACAAACATACGCGTATACAAGCATACAATATACAACTTATACAAGTATATATATATATAAATCTATCTATGAATGAGATATAAATTAGGTCGTTATGTCTGCTTACACGCAGAGAAAAATAATATCAATAATAAAATGTACTAGTCAAATATACACATGAAATATTATATTATTATTATTATTATTATTATGATATACCTAACTGTATAGGTACTGATTTCGATCGACAAGATCACGCACTTGTTTTATATTATATATATATAAGTCTATATTATACAGTGTGTTTCACCAAACATGAGGTTCACGGTGCTCACTCCAGTACTATCATCATTTATAATAATTAATTTACAAAAAATTTGGATTTTGTTTTGACACTTGAATGAGAATTTTTAAAAATCTATCGGACCTCAGACAACACGCGTGACGAAATATCGAGAGTCGTCATAATAATATAATATCTCTATAGACTATAATATATTTTACCTAATGGAATAATATTGTTTATATTTTATATCTTCTGATTATATGTATGTATATAGTAGAGTAACTAATACAGATTACTATAATATAAGCATTATCGACTCGATTAATCTGTCTGACGTAAAACACATTATATTATACATCATACATAATATTATTATAATATAATATTCACTATATTATGAATTATGATCGTGAAAATATCATTATTATATTACGCTATTGGTTCGTCAATAGAATACTCGACTTACAATAATAATAATATAATATTACGATGCAGTAATAAAAATATTTACTACACCCGAATAATATTGGAGGTCCCATTTCCCATAAAAATCGACGTCCGAATGATATTAATAGTTTTCACTGCAGCGATTTTTCTACAGAACGTATAGAACTCCAGTCTAATACTTTTAAATATTTAGAGCTTATGATATTAAACGGTTGATTTAATGCACACATTTTTTAAGTGTCTATAAGTTTATAATGTCATTATTTAGTTTAATAGCGTAAAAGAAGAACCACACAGTGGAGAACTTCAATATAGTATACCTACCTAAAGCTTAATGATATTATTTTAGAGATAATGATACATTTTTTTTTTTTGAAAAAGATGATGTTCTATATTATAGAACTTTAAATTATAAAATAAAATATTATTATACTAAATATAACAATAATATTCAAAAATGAATGAATTATTTTATGTAAATTATTATCCAATAATTAGTTCTAAGATCTAGCAGTATAAGTCCGTGTTAACATCATATTTTATATTATCTAATCATATTATATTATATGGTATGAGATATACGTCCTTGTAAAGCACTTAAACTAATATATTAAAATAGCCTGCATCTAACCCCTGAAAAAATATTGTGTCACAATAAAATCATAATATTGAAAATTTACTATCTACAAGGGGCCAAATTGACCAACATTTATCATATTATATAATATATATGGGAATTATCGATAAAATGATGAGTATACGAAATTATAATATATCGTATTATTATTACTAAATTTATCACTAGATATAGATAGCCCTTAGTTGGCTAGGAATGTCTTAAAATAATAAATAAAAAAAAATTACTATAATAATGATAATATAACCTAGGTTGCAATCTTATATTATAAAACGTGAAAAGCTTTAGCACTCACCTCTGCTGCCGGTTTTCCACCTTCGGATATGCACTCCAGTTCAATTGGCGAGTTTTCCGTGGTGTAGATTTTATCGCCCTGCACGATCCGCGGACGGTTCGGCGGCACCAAAACGGTCAGCGTCGCTTTTCTGGACCTGATAGCCGGTTCGTCCCGCTTACCCGTGCCCACCTGACACTGGTACACGCCATCATCGTCCAGAGTCACAGGATTCAGTTGCAAGTTAAATTCTCCTGGTGTGACGAGATCAAAACAATAAACATGAAGATCATGTAACAACCATAACAAGATATCAATAATAATAATGGTAATGAAAAAAAAAATAATAATAATAATAACAACAAGGATGAAGCCGTCCCGCGTGAACATTTAATAATATATTAGTGCACAGTGCCGGATCTAACATTTTTTTAACCCGGGACAATAAATATAATTGGTGCCTTTTTATATCAATAATCTTTTTCTTTTTTTTTACTTATTACATAGGTAATTAGAAATTTGCGCCCCTTTGTGATTAGTGTCCGGGGTACGTGCCCCGGATTGCCCCCCCCCTAAATCCGGTGTTGTTAGTGCATATTATATTATATAGTTGTATAAATAATATAAAAATTTAAATTTTTGTCTCGAGAAATATTGACTATATGTTAATAATTCTTATGAGATGTTATTTTACGAATTTTGTGTTTTTTTTTTTTTTTTTAATTATTTAAATAAAATATTTAGTATTTGAAAAAAATTTTCAAAAAAATGAATTAAAATCCTGTTCGAATTTTATTGTTTCATCGTAAGTAATTCAGAAATTAACAATTCTTAAGAGTTGAAATGTACGCCGATACACGTGATTTGCTGCTGACATCGATGGGCTATTTTTCAATTTTGTATTTATTATTTAAAAAAATTTCAGATATTGATGTCTTGAGATCTGAAATGGAACATTCTTGAATTTTAATATCCGAAACTTAAATAAAAGGTTAACCCATGACTTTGATCAAACAATCCCGATAACGTATTTAAAATAGTTAAAGATCAAAACGTCCGACTCGTATCCTGTTCATATTGTAGATTCATCACTTATTGTCTTATTGAAATATAATATTTTGATTCTAATAAATAATGAACTATATTAATTTATTGTCCGGTTAAAAGTAAAATTTATTTGTCTTTATCTGGATGAAACTATCGTTGTATATTCTCAAACGTTGAATTATTAATAATTTGGAGTAGCGGTCGTCGTCGGGTAACTGGCACGTCAGATCGAACCGGTCGGCGACCGCAATAAACCCATGGACGCGGGTTGGGGTCTGGGAGCATGCATACATTATATAAATATATATAACGATAATACGACGTATATGCGGGGAAAGAAGTCGAACACCTGTTGCTGCTGCTGTGCAAGTCGTCGGTCTAAACATCACGCGCCGCGACGACGACCACGACGAGTGTGTGTACCTATACCTACGCAGTATTTTATGTAAGTCCGATGAGTAAAACTGGATTTATCCGTACCTATAGCCGGTTGACGAGTGCGTGTGTATATATATATATATATTTATATACTTTAGTATACGTAATATAAATATATATTATATAGACTGCAGCAGCAGCGATGACTACGACGGTTAAGCGTAAAAACGAGATTATCGACGATTTTTAAGAGCCAGCCGAGAAGTATATTAGACTGCGCGCAGTAATGACGACGGTAATAATAATAAATAATCCGCTGGTATTCGAACGGGATCAGCCGCTGTGCCGCCTACGGAGGGAAAACCGCGCATCGACCAAAATGCAGTTACGCGGTGCACACAACAACAATAATAATAATAATAATAATAATAATATATAATATTATTATGATGGTTCTCGGACGGACGAAACTATATAATATAGTCCAACACGAAAACGCCCATTGACGTGTTGATTCTACTTAAATAATATAGATACTACTGCTGTTATTGTGTATCGTTTTTATTCGAACGGCTTCATATAAATATAATAATATATTAATACACAATATTATAACACAACGATCGACATGAAATTTTAGTTTTTAACGCGGTCGGTACTGGTTAACTATACATTTAAATAATTGTTTTGTATGATATATCATATTCGTGAATTTATTATTAGTCTATTATACAACGTATTCACTACCGTTGCAATAAACAAGGATCCGGAACGAATGTGTGTGTGTCCCGTGTGGCGTGTGCATGCGTATTTTGGATGTAGTGAGAATATTTTCTAATAAAACCGCGTCGTGTAACAAACAGTCATCGACTGTATTGCGCAGTAGACTCTCAAAAGAAAATGTACAATAACAATGCAGGTACTAGTACAATAGTCAGCTAATAATTTTTTTTTTTTTTGAATGAGGAGGACTGGGAGGAGGATACTATGAAAAATATTAAGTTTTATAAATCCCATGGAATTTAAAAAATTAAATAAATAAATAATAACAGTGATTTTAAATACACGGCTGATCCACCATGCCCAGTAATCATCGGTGTACGTAAAAAGATTGAGATTTGAGAATAGTATTGAAAATAACAGACTTCGTAACTATTTTATGTATTTCACAATTTTAGATTTTGATTGGAGCAATTTACTAAATATGTGTATTTTTGTATGTGAGTTCATGATAAATAATCGAAGAAACTTCGACTTTCAACATTAAAGGTAGTTTTGGATAGAAAATTGAATCTAGTTTATACTTTAAATAGGTAAAAAATTTAAATTAAAAATTCCTAGTACTTTTTTTTATAGTTGGAAAAATGAAAGAAAAGCGGGAATTTTTAGGAAAACCTAATATTATTATTAAAATAATTGTTTTGTAACCATGGTTACCTTAAAACTTTTATGTATATTATTAATTGTATTATTATATGTAAATTAATTTTAAAATATTGTTTACTTATTTATACCATAAACTTATTTACTCTATGGTAAGGTAGTATTGACTCAAAAATTTAATATAATAAAGTTTATGGTGAGTGGAAACTTTCTCTCATCCCTCTATAAATACGCTACTGGTATTGTAGTTAATAAGTTAAACTTTGATTTACTTTAATAAATTAACAATGAAGTATTTTTAACTTATACAATTATGTATGTGGTTAAAATATCAATAAATTAGTTATTATTTATATTTAATTATTCTTCATTTCAACATACCTAATTCAATTTAAAAAAAATTAAAATTAAAATTTTTTCATATCAGTTGTATTCTTTATTTTTTGCTACGCCTAGATGCTTTGTTAAAATATTTTACTGTTATCATTGTCAACTGTTTTATATATATATATATATATATATATAAATATTTTTTGTTTTAATTGATAATTTATCGTCTTTATTGTTTGCACTTTACAAACTATGTCTTAAATAGGTGCCTAAATTAACTCAAATTTTGATATAATATATGAAAATACATGACACGGCAATGAAATAAACAATACATATAAAAAAGTTTAATAAAGTTAATTATGGCTCAACTATGATAATATGTAGTTAAGTAAAATTAAATAAGATCAGGTGATGACTTTTAATTTTAACCAGCTAACTCATTAATATACTATATTATCTATATATATTCAAAAACTATGCTTGTCGACTTACAGTTAATTTATCATTAACCACGGATGCAATCTTAATATTGTATTAATAAAAAACTCTTATTTTCCTCAAAATAAATATTAAAATAATTATAAATACAATTATGTAATAATAATATCGTTATTGCGTCGGCATTATCAGTTGATTTAAAATCGTTTACATTTTACTGAACACTGATTGGCATAGATGCACTAAATTTACATTGAGATTTTGAGTGGTTAAAAAATATTTTCAGTAATATTATTGATTTCATTGCGGTAATTGGAAAGCGAACGCGCGAAAAAAATGCATTACGAAAATGAATCGATTTAATTAACGTTTAATAATAATTATTATTATTGTTTATGGACACGAAAATGGGTAATAAATGAATATTAAAAATGTTTTAAATTTCGGTTAAATATAAAAGTGTAATATATTATGATAATCGATTTATAACTAGGTAACTATATAAAAATAAATAAATATATTACTTTATTCCATTTACATAACAATTTTGATGATCATGAAATGTCAAATGATACTATTATAGCAATGGTTTTAAACAAATTTCAACGTAATTTTTCATATTTATTTTTTCATTTCATCCCTATCAATGTTATTTTTTTATTTTAATATCGTTGAATATTTGATCGAAAACTTTACGTAGGTACCTAATGTAATATAGTATTCGACCATCAAAGATGTATAACAAAAAGTATATTGAAATTATTTATAAACCCTAAGCATTTTATAGATTGTTGAGTGGTATTATAGAACGGATGGTGTTAACAATCCCAGAATTAATGATATGTCAAGGGAGTATTGATTTTAAGTGCAGATATTTTTAAATTTTTTGATAGCACATTCAAAATCAATTTCGAAAATAGAATTAAAAAAAAAAATTATCACATCTTGAATAACAACTAAATGATGACTTCACAATAACATGATATTTCCTAAAAATATTATAAATTTATAACATTTTTAAATTAGTGAAAATGGAATGTGAACAATGTAGTTCAATATATCATTGTATGTTTATGGTATTACCACTATTAAAGTTTATACAATAATCAATAATATAATATTATATTATATATTATATATTCAATTATTAGTTCGTATTAAGTGTTTTTAACCTATTCGGATTAAGTGACGATATGCTATATTTGTGTCGAACGCTCGCAAATACAATACGTTATTGGCTTATTGCGTTGATTGTGGCGACTATGTATAGCATTTTTGTTTAAATAATTTTTAAATATACATAATATAATATTACATAATTATTTTGCCAGACTTATTAGTTATTACAAATGGTATAATCATAATACACAACAATTAAAAATTGTTTGAAGTGAGAAGGGTTGAAAGGAGGCCACTAATTGTCTAGTGTCCTGGAGCTCAATAGACCTTTAATACGGCCTTGAGAAATTATAGTATTATAGTATTATTAATAATATTTCAAGAACTTTTGTAAATTATTATTTAAAGGTAGTATATATTGCAGGTACTGGGTACTTGGAATTTATTAGTAAAAAAAAGCATCTTTATTATATAATATATAACAGTTACAGGTCACGTTTAGTATTATAAAAGTTATTATCCCCTTCAATTTTAAAACAAACTAGGCTTATTTATT